GCGATGGATGTTTACAGGAACCCAGCCAGCGTATGCCTCCCTGCTCTTTACCTCCGACTGCACCTGCTTCCCCCACTTAACTTTCAAGACAACACTTCTAACTGCGGACACAGACACAAAAACGACGGTCAACTCCAGCTAATGCCTGTGGAGCCCTGAGCCCGACTGGGTTTGGCCCAAGCTGATCTTAGATACAGCGACTATTTCAGGGAGAGACTCTGGAGGAAGAGGCGAGGAATGTGTCCGGGGCTAAGGGCAGGGTTTTGACTTATTCATTTCAAGTTGCTTCTTCATCAAGTTGCCAGAACTGATCCATCGTGGCAGGAGAAGGCCATATTGCTCCTCTGGCCAGAAATATTTTTAGAAAATATGAGTGGTATGAATACTGGACTTTGATATACCTGTAAAAGCAATACTTAGGAGGCTGATTTCTTTCAATTAAAAAAAAAATGTATGCAACTCAGCACCTGGAGACCTGCTTTTTCTCTTCTCTTTTCTTTTTTTCAGATTTGAGAAAGGAATCCATAAGCAGAAAACCTCATGGTTGACATAGGGCGGAAGTGTCAGGGCCTCCCAAGTTGGAGATCCAGCCAGGTATCGAGAGTATAGTCAAACTAGACTGGTGTGGGAGGCTGCGACCAGTCCCCTCCCTGCTACCACAAGCCTCACATACCAGGGCCAGCCTTTGGGGTGTGGTGGCAAAGTCTTGGTGGCCAAGCTGGAAATTGGGTCCAAGTCCCAGAGAAATCAGAGGTGTGGTATTACCACCCTCCCTTCCACACTGGGCACACAGCAGACTCCAGTAGAGATAAGGGAGGGGTGGAGGGGGAAACAAATGAGTGAAATTGGGTCCACTTTCAGTTTCATGAAAAACAATAGCACAACTCTCTCCAGTTTGCAGGGCACCTGCTTCTTTCAGAGCGTCCTTTCACATGCACACCATGGTAAACCAGGAATAGACGATTAGTTCCGTCCTAAGGCGAGGAGACTGAGGTGGAGGGTACTACAGGTCTGATGGAACTCAAGAGAAAGGACACTTGTAGCACCATTTGTCTTCATGTGATTCTAAGAAAGGGTATGCTAACTAAAAATGTGAACAGAAGACATTCGAGAGGCCCAAGGAGCGTGAGAAGGGAGACATTGGGAGAGGCCTGAGGAGAAAGGGAGGGTTTAAAAGATGCACTTGAAACCCACTAAATGTGAAATCGTGCCGTCACATACAGCGTGACTCCAAACATCACACACCCAGATTCCCGTGAGCATGACCTCTCCCACCCAACAGGTGGGGCTCGGGAGCAACTCCAGCCCACTGCGCCTGGCCCGCGGAGTGATCCTCCAAAGAAGTCAGAAGGCAAGTTTGCATCTTGACTGCCTCCTTAATAGGGGTGTGACCTCAGGCAAGTTACATCTTTATGAAATGGGGACAGTAATTTGGCCACTTCATAAGATGACTTGGCGTTAATAACCAAGGTGCCCCTCTGGGCTGAGAGGGCTCCACGCCAGGACTCACAGCTTGGCAAGTGGAGCCCAGGCTGAGTTGCAACATCCATTTATCCCCTTGTCCAGGTGCCTTTGTGCAGTACACAGACTGCCCAGCCATAGCTGGCAGCCCTGCCCAGAGGTTTTTTAAAATTTTACTAAAATGCAAGACTTACCAGAGCATCTTATTCACCAATGTGTACACAGTACATATTTGTGGAATGAATAGACCAAAGTTGTGGTGAGGCTTATTTGCTCATTCCACAAATGTTCATTGGGCACCTACTATGTGCTGACACTTCGCTGGGAGCAAAGGGCACGGCAATGAACAAAGCAGAGAAGTCCTGCCCTGTTGGAGCTCACATCCTAGGATGAGAGCAGACAGCACAACAAAAAGTGTAAAAAAGATAAACTAGCGATAAATTTGGAGAGTTGGGGGGTGGGGGGTGTCTGTGTTTAGTGGAGTGATCTAGTACACTTTCCTGAGGGGCCGTCCTTTAAATGTAGTCCTGAAGCATGAGAAGTCGGCCTGTAAAGAGCTAGAAAGAACATCCCACACAAAGGCTAGAGTGAAACATATATTCATAGGAAATGAGGACAACATAGGAAATCGAGTTGTATGCCAGGCTCTTGTTCTCACTGTGTGAGCTCACGGATTCTCCTGTAGCCCCATAATGAAGAGAGTACTATGAGCAGGCCCATTTCACATGCGAGAGCCCGAAGCACAGAAGTAATTGGCACAGGTGGTGAGCTGGGCATTGAGCCCAGGTGATCTAGCTCTAGAGTCAGTGCTGCTGACCCTAGGCTATGGTCCCTCTTGAGTAGGAAGGGCTTAGCATGGTGCCTGACATAAAGTAACAATTGTTGCTAATATTCATTGAACAATTATTATGTCTCTTGCACTGTGGTAAGTGCTTTACATGTATCAATTCATTTAATAAGTGGTAGCTATCATTTAAAATCATTACCATGAATAATTACAGCCTCTAACCTCATTTTATCCTTTATGAACAGACTAAAAGCCTTGAGTACAGTAGTGCCCTCCCCACCTGGCCATGGGTGTGGTAGATGCTTTGAATGGGGGGGATGTTGGCTTGGTGCTCACCCTTTTGTCTGCACAAATGGGGGTCTTGTGGACTCCACAAAGTCCACAAATTCAGGGAAACTCTTTAAGAGGTAGTTCCCGAGCCATTTAGAGCTCAAGCCTGGGTCACCACACCTGATGCCCTTTGCAGCCACACCAAGGCAGAAGGCCCCCACCTCTCTGCAAGAATTGCCTACCCGGCAGCTTAGTCTCAGCCCCTCAGACCCATCCTACCCCCAATTCCCACTTGCTAGGAAGAGGAGATGAGTTTGGGCGCACTACAGCTGAACAGACAGCCCCCACTCTGCCAAAGCCAAGTCATCCCAAACCAGGGCTTCACAGCAAGCAGGCCATGCCCCAGTGAGAAACAGCAACAGTCAAACTGGCAGCTCTCCGAGTAGAGAGCAAAGCTGCCAGTTCCCTTCCAGGCTTGCCTTGCCTGAGGCAGAATCCCAGCTGGGCTAAGGAATGGTTCCCAGGGTAGAGTGGGGCTCAGAGGCAGAGGGCAGCAACCCCCTCTGCAAGGCTTATGGTGCTTCGACCTTGCTGCTCCCCTAATAAAAAAACTTTCCACTGAATCTCAGGACTCCATAAAGAAAATCCTTTCTGAAAAGACAAGACTTGGACCAGGGCGGACTCTGCTGTGCGTGTGCGTCCAAACACATACACACACAAGGTGGGGGACAGGAGAGGAGAGTGACAGGTTCTGTCAAACTGGACAAAGAATAGGACAGAAGTGATGCTGTGTGACTCCTAAGGCTGGGTTATGAAAAGGATACATTACTCCTCTTTTTCTCCCTCTCTTTCCCTCTCTCCACCCATCCTTTTCCTTTTTGGGTGATCGCCCTACAGCCCAGCCACCATGCTGTGAGGAAGCCCAAAGCAGCCCGCATGAAGAGGTCCCCTGCTGACAGTTCCTTAGAGGAACCGAGGCTCCCCGCCATCCACCAGCATAGGGTGAACAAGCCTTCAGATGACCGCAGCTGACACTCAGTGGGACAGAAATGAGCCCTGCCCAAACAACAGGCGTGTGAGCAGAATAAAAGTGTATGTTGTTTTAAGCCACTGCATTTTGGCATGCTTTGTGATGCATTAGATCACTAGAATGGTGGCCACCCCAAAATGGTAATCATGTTATAACTCAAATGCCGGACCTCCCTGTGGGATTGAATGTAGGGAAGAGACGGAGGAAATGAAGCTAAAAAGGCAGCTGTGGTTCTGATTTCTCTCTTTCCTCTTTTCTATTAGTGTGCCATTAATTGATTTCCAGCTAAGGTCCAGGCCATCTGGCCTAGCTTTGGCCTCAGCAAGCAAAGTCTGTGGAAACAGTGAGTCCCACAGACAGAGAGCAGCTGCCTCAGCACTCCAGCCTGTTGCGGTGTGGGAATACGTGGGTCAGGGCTCCCCTCTGGTATCCTCAGAGCACCAACTGTGCCCTCGTAGGACAGCAGCCTGGAGAGGTACTTTCTCCCCAGCGCAGCAGGGACCTGTGGAGGCGGAGGTGTGGCTGCCTAAGTTCCTCACTCTGGCCTGGCCACGGCTGTCCAGAATGTCCCGTGGAAAATGCACCTGGGCTCCAGAGTGAACTGCAGCTGCCAGCAGGTGTCTACCTGTCTGCCAGAGCAGCAGCAGCTGAGCAGGGCCGGCATCAACCTTGTCCCCGGAGGCGCCCAGGGCTGGGCCTGGGTCTCTCCACCTTCAGGCCATGAGTCCTTTCCATAGCCGGCAGGGCTGGGTGCCAGGACCCTGAGCCTCATAGGATTGACCCGAGAGGAGCTGTGTCCACAGAGAACCAGTTCAAGTTCCAGCGTGGTCGGTCTCCTCGGAGAAAGTGCTGTGGGAAGTCCAGAGAGGGGGGTAGGTCAGAAAGCTTTTGGAGGGTGTAGCTGGACACATGGAGAGTGTTGAGACTGGGGATATAAAGGACAGTGGGCATGGAGGAAGAGACAGAGGGTTTGGAGGGGACCTCACAGGTCGGAGGAGCAGGGAGGTGGAAGGACAGTTATCTGCACAGTGACAGGCAGGAAATTCATAGAGAAAGTTCCTCTGAGGACAATCCAAGACATCGGGCAGCCAACAAACTGAAACAGCAACACTCATGGTTTGGAAGTCCCTGAAGGAACATCTTCCCAATGCTAAGGGTTGTGGGTTGTGGATGGGCCGCCCGCCCCGTTCTTGCCACCAGTCTCTAATCCTTGCCACATGGAGGGTCCTCAGGACCTGAGCCACAAAGCCTTTAGGATACCTCTGCGAAGCCCAGCACAGAAACAGGGGGACGCCTCAGATGGTGCATAGTCTGGGGGTGGTTACCCAGATCCCACCTGCTGCCCTGCCCACTTTTTATGGATTCACCTTCCCAGGATGCTGAACCCAGGGGCCCTTGTTGTTCTTCCCTCCCACGCCCACCCCAATTACCTTATCCTGTGCACAACTGGAGTCATCTCAGGCTGATGCGCGAGTCCAGCTGCTGCAGGTGTTCCTGGACACCAAAAGGGATGGTGGGTGTCCACATCCTGCAATAGGTGCATGGGACACAGAGGCCAGATTAGAGGAGAGAGTGAGACCTGACGTGCCCAACATAAGAGGTCCCCAAATCCCTCCTCCTACTCAACCTGGAACCTTGGGGACTTCCCAACTAGCAGGACCACACCAGTGTGGGGACATGGGAACAACAGAGGCCTAGGAACCCCAAGGCCCCATTCCTTAGATCTGGTTCTGCTGCTGACTTGCTGTATGACCTCAGAAACTTTGATTAAACTCTCTGTGCCTTATTCTCTTCATCTGAAAAATGGGTTCATTAGATCTACCCTATCCTCTTAAAGGAGATGAGTGGTTACATAAATTAAAATGCTTTGAAAATGTATAAAGTACCAGTATTGAACATTACACATCATGGTGATGTGATAATAAGTTTGAGCCGTATGAAATTGCCAATTTTGTAGGTTAATGGTTTATATAAGCAATTTCATATAATTCAATCCAACATATTGAGCATCTTCATGTACCAGACACTGTTCTAAGTGCTTGATACATCTTGACTAATTTAAACCTCACAATACTGCTTGGGGGGAAATGTAACCCTCACCATTTTACAGATGAAGAAACAGGTGAAAATGGTGACATGTGTCCTGCTTGCCCAAGGTCCCGCATTGTTGAGGGGCAGAGCAGGATTTGAGCTCAAGGTTCACAGAACCACCCTCTGGGGCTGCTGAGACTTACGCTAGTGTCTCCACATGAGGGCACTTTCTCAGGCTGGCAGTGAGTTGCTGAGCCCCGGCGGCCGTGAACTTGTTGTACTGGACACTGGGGAGACAAACCCATCTTGGGGCCTGGCCCTTAGGACCAGCCAGCCCCATTCCAAGGCCACCCCCACCCTCTTGACAACCAGACCCCAGCCCAGTCCTTCCTATGGTGCCAGAGGGAGATCCCGATCTCCCCAAGCTGCCACCCAAGTTCCCATACTCACTCCAGCACCCTCAGGGACACCATGTCTGGAAGCACGTGTGCCAGGCTCTCGGCTCCCACGTCACCGATGCAGTTATTGTACAAACTGTGGGAAACAGAAGTCAGGACAGGGTTTGGGTTGCAGGGGTTCAGGGCCCAGGGGGACCTATACAGAACTGGGATGACTGCCCCAGTTTACAGAGGGCAAACTGAGGCCCAGAGCATTGAGGCTTCTTCACCGTGGTCACACAGTGAGTCCAGGGAAGCAGCAGGACTGAGAGGGGATAGCTTCCAGCCCGAGACTTCACGAGTTCAAATCCCAACCCTGCCATTTGCCGCCTATGTGACCTTTGGCAAATTTCTTACCTCCTCTGTAGCTCGGTTTGCTTCTCCATAAAATGGGCATGATAGAGTCATTGTGAGAAAGAGTTGAGTTAATGCCCGTAAAACACATAGAACAGGCTTGGCATGTGGAATGAACTAAATGTTAGCTATGGTTATTACTACCTCCCAGGGTGGGTTGGGAGGGTTAAATGAGTTACTGTAGAAGGTATGACCAGCACTGAGGATAAAAGAGAGAGAAAAGTCCAGTCGCTGGTCTGGCTCAGGTTTCTGTGGTGTATTCACAGCCACCGCTTGTAGTGTTGAAAATAGCATGACAAGTGTTGCTGACTCATTACTAAGCATCCTTTAAACAAGCCAGGTACTGCTGTGGTTCTAATTTCAAGGCCACAACTTTGCCATGATAGCCTCAGGGCTACACTACAGGGCTGCATGTAAAAGCAGCAGGTCTATACTGCAGCAAAGTGGATTCAGGCTAAACTCCAGCATTCCCTGATGTCAAGATTTGGCTGGTACCAAGGCAGGGGCTTTGCAATCTCTTCTGGGTGAGTCTTAGGACCCAGGAGGTCCTTCCTGCTTGCACAGGCAGAGGTTCCTTCCCATAGTTCATTGACGCCAAGAAGCACATGTTCATATATTTAAATATCATTGAGATTAGGATCTACTAATCAATGGAGTATCATATAATCTGCAGTGTTTGTCCTCTAAATGACGTCTTACAACATATAGCATCTTAGATTCCATGAAGTATGAGGTTTGTTTAAGCATCAGTTGTATCAGGTGTCACCTCCATAGGCCCCACCTGCTTCTCCATTCACAGTAGAAACACTCCAAAGCCTCCTCCTGACCTACAAGGGCCTCCCAGCATGATCTGGCCTCCACTTATCTCTCTTACCTCATCTCCCATCCTCTGTCCCTCATTTATGACATCCAGCCACAGTGGACTTTCTGGCACTCAAAGACTCAACCTCTTTCCTACCTCAGCGCCTTTGCATCTTCTGTTCCCTCTTCTTGGAATGCTTTTCCCCTAGAGCTGCCCATGGAAGGGGAAGTGTTTCCCACCCACTCAGAGGTCCCCTGACCTCTCTGATGAATTCAGTATTTCCTATTGTAACTCCTGGGCCCTTGTTAGTTTTCTCCCCAGCATAAATCACTATTTCAAAATATTTTATTTGTACATATGCTTACTCGCTTATTATATTAAGAAACTCAAAAGTAAGAACCACATCTGTTTTGTTCATAGTTGTATCTCTAGCTCCTAGCACAGGTTCTGGCCCATGGTTGATGATAGAGAATATTAGATATTTTGACAACTCTAGGGGGTGCCAATCACACAGACTACAAGTTTCATGGCTGTACCCAGTGGCCCTGAACAGAAGGATAAAGAATGGATACATCAATAACTCAATGAACCAGATGCCATCTCCGCTGGGAATCTGGCTCCGGCAGTCCTTGGCAGGTGATGAGGGCCGGGGAAGGAGAGGGAAGTTCCTGATGCCTGGTGAGAGAGGAGAGCTGGCCATGCTGAGCTGAATGACTGGGGATTTGGTCCAAGCTCTCACTCAGTTCCTAAATTGCTGTGTACCACCAGGGGCCAGGTTCGCAGTAATCAAAAGCAAGAGTTGCTATGCCAAGGCTCACCAGAAGGTGGCAGTGTAAGCACTGACTGGTGTGTGAGTGATAAAAGCTAGCCAAGGCTGCGGAGAATGGTCAGTCTTCTAGAAATCACCACCCTTGGACTCTAGAAAAAGCTCAGTCCTGCCGCCCCCTGGGAGTAGAGGGCCAATGTTGTGTGCCAGGGCCCAGCACTGCACGAAGGGTTTTCCACAGACCATTGGGATGGCACCCATATTCTAGACGAAGATATAGAGGCATTGCCCAACTCCAGGGCAGAAGGTTGTGTTCATACTGGGTTTTAGGTCAATGCCCACCCCACCCCCACCCTGCCAAGCTGTGCAACACTGGGACAGCATAACAGCCTGTAGTGACTGCCTCCGGGGTCGCAGTGTGGGGCTTTGCAACTGGCACAAAGGGGGCTCTCTGCCCTCCCCTCCGCCTACCAGCTCAGCACCTCATCCATGGCAGGGTCCCACTCACCTCAGCCTGAGAAGGGACGCAGCCAGCGAGGGCAGGGCTTCGGCGAGCTTGCGGGCACCCACATCGGTGATGCTGTTCTGGGACAAGCTGCAGGGACCCAGCAAGAGAAAGGGCTCAGGGCCAAACTTGCAATCCCCTTTTCCCATCAGCGTCCATCCATCTCCATGCACCGCCCCCTACCCCAACAGAGCTGAGCAGCTCTTGATTCTTCACAGGGTGGCCCAGAACAGCTAACACATGACCACGGACCTCAAGGAGAGCTGTGGGGTAATGAGCTGTGAATGGCGGCTGTGGGTAGACTGGTGCTAACTCTTATCCTGTGGCTGAGTGAGATGATGGAGGTGAGGATACATATGACAGAGAGGGAGAGAGAGAGAAAGAGCGCACGTGCGAGTACGCACTTTCCAGACCACACCTATTTTATTATTTTATTAGCATTCCCTTTGAATGACTTTTCAGCACTGTAAATAAGTGTTCACATTATTTGCCTAATGGCTGTGGGCTCCACAAGGCAAGCGGTCATTCTGTTTTTGGTTCATTACTGTATTCCTGTGCCTAGAGCAATGCAAAGTGCATAGCAGGAGTTCAATAAAAAGTTAAGTGAGATGGTGGAGAAAAGGAAAGAGGGGAAGGGAGAAGAAGAGAAGAGAGAGAGAGAGAGGAAGAAAGGAAGGAGAGAAAGATGGAAGGAAAGAAGGAAGGAAGGAAGGAAGGGAAGGAAGGAAGGAAGGACGGATGGACTAAGGGAGGGAAATCTAGCTCACTCACAGTGTTCCTTAAAACACACTAAGTTACTTGAAAAGTCTCAGTATCTAACAATGAAGGAAATGCCTGAATTTTGATGAATTCTGGTGAATTCTGTGGCCATCATGATAATGGTTATGAACTGGAGTGTGGGTAAATTTTGATGATACCATCTAGGTTCAGTAAAAAACAAAACTCATATTCATCTTCTTGTACCATATCCATATCCGACTTCCCAAGCCCAGAATAGTTTTTTTAAAAGAATAAAAATGTATTATTTCGAAAGCATTCAACTGATAAATCCTAATCTATCTCTTCCATTTCACCTCCAGTGTAATTTTCTGTCACTCAACATTGTTTACTTTCATTACTATATACTTTTTAATTATGGATTCATTTATTTGTTTGTTTATTGTGTTTTTGTTTAGAAGACTTCTGAGGTCAGGGACTTTGTTTTGTTTAAAGCTGGATCTCTAGGGCCAAGAATGGAGCCTACACACATTAGATGCTCCTTAAATATGTGTTGATTAAATTAATTAATGATTGGGTGCACAAATGATTAAATTATAAAAATGAATGAGTGAAAGGCTGAATGGACAGATGGATGGATGGATGGATGGATGGATGGATGGATGGATGATTGAATGCATAAGTGAATGAAAGAATAACAAATCCAGAGGATCATGGGGGCGCAGATGCAGCAGGAAGGGCAGGCCTAGCCCACTCACTTGAGAGTCTCCAGGGCCTTCAGCTGAGGGAAAGTGGCCGAGAGCTGCACGACACCCTCATCTCCAATCTTGTTCTCACTCAGCGAGTCCAGGCTGCAGGTGAAATCAGATGGGAGTCATCAGCCAGCACCCTAGAGGCCACCTGACCCGTCCCCTCCCTCTAACTCACCGGGGCCCTCCTCCCATTCCCCGACTCCTGGCCACACTGTAGCAGATGTCTGCTCCAGAGCTTTTGAGAGCAAGTTTTCATCTCCAGGGGAACCAGCTCACCAGCCAGGGGACAAGGTTCTAGGTTCTAACAGACCTGAATCCCTATTTTGCTTCCTAGGAGTCCCAACGAGCTTGGGAAACTTCCTGGCAACCTCTTGGTACCTCAACTGTACCACGGAATCATGCTCTCTGACCTGGCTTCTCGATGGGGCTGCTGGGAGCAACAGATGAGATGAAGAATTGCAAAGATAACAAAAGGATTTGACTTGTAAAAAAAATTATTGGGGATTCCCCTCCACCATCGCTTCCTTGCAGTGGGGTCATCTGATCACTCACACCAGCCCCATGAAGGAAGCAGCAGGACAGAGAGACACACACATACAAACAGGGTAGGGTTTCGGGATGTCAAAGCCTGAGGTCACAGGGAGGGCTCTGGGGTCTATACTCACTCCAGATGCTGAAGGGAAGAAAAGGCCTCAAGAATCCTCACCAGTTTGGGGAAAGCCTGGGGGCCCAAGACAGGGCCCAGCCTAGGAAGCAAACAGTAGGGGTAAGACCCTGAAACAGTTACAGCCTCTCAATTCAGCCCTGGGCTGGAAGGGGAAACAGACAGGGTACAGAAGGCAGGCCCTCTGAGGTCCCCTCTCCTTCCCTTCTCCCCGCCCCACCAGGTAGGACCCCAAATCTGCTCTGGGTAGATTTCACAAGGCCCCCTCAAGTAGCCAGCTGGGAGCTCCCCAGCTTTCATCCTGAGTGGGATTCTTACTCCTGCCAACGTCTGCATGCACCCTTTTTCTGCCCTGGCCTGGGAAAGTGGTTTCCAAATGCTGGTCTGAAGGCCAGTACGAGGCCCAGGAAAGATGGTTTATGTATTTGCCGCTACATTTGAATAACAGAACTGTGTCTTGAGCAATTAGTATGTGCCAGGAACACAACATATCCTTCACTTAGATTAGATCTCACTTAATCCTCACAATGACGCTGAGCTAAGGGGACTTCTTATTCCCATGTTACAGGTGGAAAAATGGAGGTGCAGAGAGGTTAACTAACTCACACAACAAGGTCACATGCTCTGGATTGCTATTTAGACTAGACTTGGAGGGAATGAGAAAAATAAAGACAATGGATGGGTGTTTTGTTTTTAAAATATGGTTAAATATACTCAGTGTAAAGATAGAACTGTTCTTTATTCTGAAATTATATTCTGTGGATCTTTTTGACACTAAAATATTAATTCTTTGCTAATGCGGTAGTGCTAGCAGTGGTTAGTTTGCTTATTTGAAAAAATATACTTGATAAAAATTAGAAGATGGTAACTGCACAGTCACTTACATTCTCTCTGAAATACTGTGTCTTTGAAATCCCAAAGGTTGGGAACCACTGGTCTCAATGAAAGGCTGTGAGTTGGGAGTCCGAAATCTGATTTGAATCTGGGATCTGCCACTTCCCTCCCCTGGGGTCTTTTGGGCAAATCCTTTCACCTCTGAACCTCAGACTCCTAACATTTAGCCCTTATCATATGAGGTTTCTAGAAGGATTGAGGAATTCATTCATCAAATATTGATTATTTGCCTCCTGTGTGCCAGGCCCATAGTGCCCATCATGAAACAGCTGTGGACAAAACAGGCAAAAAAAAAAAAAAACAACAACTTTGCCCTTGGGGAGCGGGCATTCCAGTGGGCAAGGCAGAAATTGATAAATTACCTGGTGTAGGAGATACTCTGTGACGTGGAGAAAAATACAGTGGCTAGTGGGATGGAATTTTACTTTTAAAAATGGTGGTCAGAAAAGACCTCGCTTAGTGAAAACGAGAAGGAAATGAGGGCATGGGCCACACAGTTATCCGGGGAAGAGTGTCCTCGGCAGAAGCCACAGCCGATGCAAAGGCCCAGAGCCTGGGTCATGCTTAGCAATACTGAAAACCAGCAGGGAGACCCGTGTGACTGGAGTGGAGTGAGCAAGGGAGTGAGGAGAGGAGGTAAGGCTGAAGAGATAAACGAGGGCTGAATCAGAGAAGAACCCTGTCTGCCAGTACAGCCTCCTAGTGATCTTTAGCCCCTGCATGTTCGAGCAGTGGCTGGAACGGTGGCTGCCAGTCATACACCCAAAATACTCTTTTCCTTCCTTCCTTCCTTCCTCAGAACTTTCTTGGGGTTTCCGGCCTCCAGGTGGCCTGTCTCCTGGTTCTGGGCTGTTCCACCCCATGGCTGCTTTCCCCAGAACACCGTTCTGACCTTGAACTAGGGGCTTTTGAAGCCAGAAATAATTCAAAGCTAGTGGGGCTTTTGGTGATTGTTTTCATACGTTTCCTCTTTTCAGAACCATTTTTATCTCTGTACAAATTTGACAACTTGTCTTTGTTTGAAACAAGAAACAATTCATCTTCTGGGGTGCAGGGGGAACAGTGACAAGGAGGAGCCGACAGGTTGTGGGTGGCCAGCTGGAGACCTTGGGCATGTGACTTAACCTCACTGGATTCTCATCTGTAAAATGGGGAAAATAATGACTATCTTCCAGAGTAGCTCTTGAAATTGGTAAGATTATATATAAAATGCACTGAGTATACTGTAGGTGTTTAATAATTCCTTCCTAATCATTAGATGATTTTAAAGTCCTTTACCAAATACAAATTTAGCTTTTTCCTTTGTTGGAGCAAGAGTCAGGCTGTCCTGACTTTTGTGACTCTGGACAAACAATTAATACTCTCTAGGCCTCAGTATTTACATCTGTACGATGGGGACAAAATAACAGTACCTCCACCCTGTGTGGCCCCGCCACCTGGCTCATTCCTACTCCTTTATCACGTTTCATTGCTACAATTGCTTCCTCCAGAAAGTTCCATGATCTCTCATAAGTCTTGCACTCTCACAACCGTCGAGTTTCCTGCCGCTTACGACAGCAGGTGGCAACTGTCTATTTACACTAGGCTGCAAGCTCCTTGAGGATAGTGGCCTTGTTCATCTGAATAGGTCTGTTGAATGAATGAATTCAAATAAGCATGTTCATCAGTAAATGGGCCAATGATCTTTACTGGCCCAGACCAGCCATGCCCCAGCCGCTAGAAGCTAGGTTCCAGAGGGGTGAGGCAAGAGAGTAAGAATAATGACGGGGACCTATCTCCATTCTGGTGGCACAAGCCCAGCTAATGCTGGAGAAGGAACCTCATGGGGACCTGAGACAACCCATCCCTTTGCTTACGCAAACTCCAGCTTCTTTAGGTCCCGGATGGCAGGGAGTTCCCCAGCTGTGTCTTCTGAGGAACTTTTTGTCCTGGAGAGAATGGGCAGTGTTAGGCGGGAGTAAGCTCTTTGCCTGTCCCTGAGCCCCTACCTATGTGTCCCAGGATGCCTGACCCAGGGCCCCAAATTCCCCCCAAAGACTACCTTTCTTGTGGCCACTGTAGCCCACCATTGGAAAGAAAATTCTCAAGACAGGGCCTTATTTAGGCTTTACTGTGCGTGTCGTGGGAGAGCCTCAGGGAAGACACTTACCAGCACCCACCCCAGACAGCACACAGTAAGTGCTCAAACAATGTGTGATGATGGCATGAGTGAAAGACAGTTGTTCTGTGGTCAAGTTCCCTCTGCTCTCAGGACTTCAGAGCTCTGCTATGTGTAAAATGGGGATGATACTGGTCCTGGTTGCCTTGAAAGCTGGCCATAGGTGTCACTTCTGTTACTAGATGCAGAAGACAGCTCTTTAACTCTTAGCAAGGGAGATGTGTCCCTGGCTTTAGCTAAGAAAGAACTATGTACATGAAGGCAAGTTTTGAATGGGACAAAGTGTAAGTCCTAGGGGCTCTGCCTGGGTGGTAACTGCACTGAGAGACTCTGGGTAGCCATTGCCCAGGGCGAGAGCATGGGGTGTCCCAAAAGGAGAGGAGGCATTGGAAGTGCTAATGGCAAACTTGATCTTAGGTCTTATATGCCTTCAACTTGAATGGCCTGGACCACCTCCCATTCCGTTCTCTCTCACCTCTGGATCTGCACAAGGTTGCCCAGGTCTTCCACATCCTTCAAGGACTTGGCTTTGAAAGGCTCGATTGTGAACTTCTCTTCCACCGCCTGGAGTAGCTTGGCTTCCCCATGCTGTTGTAGGGACTCCCACAGCCCCACCGTGTCACTCAACGCAGCCCTGTGGAGGGAGGGCCTCAGACCCAGGCACAGCGACTGGGCTAGACCATAATGGAGGGGCAGCTCCGTGAAGGACCCTCCTGCCTACTCAGATACTTTCCTTCCTCAGCCTCACCCGTACTTCTTCTGAAAGCCTTCAATGACTACTCCAGCCCCCGCTCTGAGTGGTTTTGTTTCCCTTTTTGCTTTGGCTATTAGGAAGTTCAGTGCTAAATTCTTGAGTGAATCACTACAATGGTGTAAGACCTTACAGATTGGGTAAGGTATGTTTAGGGGGAAGGTGGGAGAGAGTCTCTGGAGATTACGCTGAAGTGATTGAACAGATTGTAGAAGGATTCAAATGAGACAAATTAAGAAATTTTGACTTCATGCTGAGGGTAGTGGGATCCCTCTAAAGCGTTGTAAGTATGACCAGATTCAAGTCTTGGTGAAATACAGTAAAGTGGAAGAGGAGAGAATGGACAGAGGCAGAGAGTCCATGTAAGGCAGTGGCTTGAATCCAACCATGACAAAAGGGTGGCTTGATCAAGGGGTGGAGAAAAGAAAACAAATCTGAACCCCAATCAGTCACAGATTCTAGACATGGCCCCGTGCCTGACATATGTTTGAAAAAAAGGATGCTACCCTGCAGGATGCTGGCTGTGCAACCTTGGACAAGCTGCTATCCCTCTCTGAGCTTCAGTTTCCTCATCTTAAAAAATGAAGGAGTCATTTCTGCCCTGACCTGGCTGCTGTGCATATGACATGAGACCTGGCATGCTGATCTCAGCATGGTATCACGACCACACAAGTGCCCAATGCAAAAAGACCCCCTTCTTATCCCCTGTCCCCACCTGAAACGGGTGACACATCTGAGTCCTACAAGTCTTCTGAGTCCAGGGGGATCAATGCCAGTGCTGCGGAGGTCCAGGGAAAAGTCACGGCCCGCTGCCTCCAAGGTGCTGGCCAGTACGTGGGTGTCTGGAGGCATGAGCCGCGTACCCAGGAAGGAGAGGTTGGTGGGGAGACCCTGCACCACATGCTGCCAAAGGCCAGTGTCCAATGCCTCATGGGCGCAGTGCAGCAGCTCCAGCAGCCGCCCTGTCTGTAGCAACCCTGGCTGCAGCCGCTTCAGGTATCTGGTGAGCACCTTCTGCTTTCTCTTCACCACAGTGGCTGCCACGGACCCTGCCAGGGCTCCCAGGCAGCAGGCATGAGGCTGGAAGACCAGCCCGACCAGAAAGCGTGGTACGCCCTCCAGCCAGTTGTCATAGGGCTTCTTCTTCCTTGGGGTTAATGCCAAATACTGTGGCAGCTCCTTGTCCTTGATCTCACTGCTCAGAGCCAGCCACAGGGCTCCCAGGAAGCACTGCAGGAGGAAGCTGGGGAAGGCCAGCTCGGTCTCTGGGGCCCCAGGGGCACGCTGCACCAAGCCTTTGGCTACAGCCCAGGCCCTCACCTCCGCCGATGGGAACTGGCCCTCCTGCAGGGTGCTGTGGTGTCTGCGACCCTGTTCCCAGGCCAGCCTGGCCAGTGCCTCCAGGGCCCCAGGGGGGCTGTCACGGACTGCTGGGCTTAGGAGGCCAACGTAGAGGCCTGTAAGTGTGGAGGGTAGCTCTGCCTCCTCTCCCAGCGCCAGCAGGGCCCCTGAGAGCTGGCACATAGCCCTGCACACAGTGGGACTGTGGCTGTGACTGAGGAGAAGCGGCTGGCCCTGGAGGAGTGCCAAAGCTCTCTCTTGGTGGTGAGCGGCTCCCAGCCGCTCAAAGTAGCGCAGCACGTAGGTCTTAGCCTGCTCAGCTGAGAAGCCGGCCATCTCGAACAGGGCATCAGCTTTGCTCAGACCCTGAGCCAGGCGGCCTCGGGACCGGGCTGTGAGCAGCAGGGTGCAGCCTCGCAACAGCTTGCGCTGGAGTAGGCCAGCCAGCAGCCCCCGAAGGGAGCGAGGCTCCGCCAACATGGGTCCGGATGTACTGTGCAGGAGGCCGTCCTGGGCTTCGAGCTCCTCAAAGGCATCCAGGATAAGCAGGACACGGTCAGGCCTCCTCAAGATGTGACCAAAGACCTCATTGTCCACCGGCAGTGGCTGTGGGCCCAGGGAGAAGAATAGATCTTGCAGGCGGTAGGTGTCCCCTGAATGGTCCAAACAGTGGCAAGGCAAGTAGAAGACAAAGTCGTACTGTGGCAGCTGGCCACAGGCCCAGGTCCGGCTCACTGCCCGGGCCCAGTGGCTCTTCCCCTGTCCTGCCTTGCCAAGCACAGCAATCACCTGTGTCTCACGCGGCTGCCGACGGTCAGTAGCAGCAAGCAATACCTCAGCCAGACCCCTGCGGGCTGGCTGCCGCTCAGTCCAGTCCAGGGTGACCAGCTCCTTCTCCTGGCTCTTGCTGCTGCTCCTCTCCAGCCGTACCCTCATCAGGTCCACCTCCACCAGGATGCCTTCCGGGCCTGCAGGTTCAGCCTGGTACTTGTCCCGTAGTGAGCGGCGAAACTGCTCCACACTCTCTGCAAAGTCAAGAGATGTGTGGGGTGGGGGGAGGAGGCTAGTGACAGGACTGGCCACCATGAGGGCAGCCAAGAAGCCAACCCAGCCGCCATCACTAGCTTCTTCACCACACAATCTTTACTGACTACCTGCTTTATCCACTGCTTCCTTCGTTCAGCAACCAGGTATTCATTTATTAACTCATTCATTCCCTCATCTTCTCATTCATATACCTATCCATTCCTTCATTTACTCATTAACCTCCTCCTTTTGCTCACTCACAATAGGGAGGACATTGGTGGGGTGCTAAGAATTAAGATTGTGGGATCCATGTATCTGGCACAAATCTTAGCTTCACCAATTAGTGTACTCTTAAGCATGTTATATACCCCACTATGCTTCAGTTTCCTTGTCTGTACAACGGGGATAATATGAGGGTTGTTTGTGATGTTAATGATTTAATATATCTGATATGCTTAGAAGAGTACTCGGAACAGAGTAAGCACTTGGTAACCTGGCCATTCTCTATTCGTTCTTTCATTCTCACCGGCTGTCCCACACTTATCAACTCCTTCCACCCCCTCACTCAATCACCTACTCTTCCCTCGTCTTGTTCTCTCAGCCTCACAAACAAGATGTCAACACCGAGCATGGGCTTACTGAGGGACAGGCCCTCAGTAGATATTACTTAAGTGTAAGCGAGTGCCAGAATGAATGCTGACATGATGGCAGGGCCCAATGAGTCAGTGAGGGAGTGAGTGAGTGAGTGAGTGAGTGCCAACAAAGAAGGGGTTGAACAGGTGTTGAGTGAACTGAATGAAGTGACACCAGACTTGGGATCCTGCCTTCAGCACCCAGGGCAGAGGGACCCTGCTGCCACTCACCAGGCCATTTTGGAAGCTTGCTGGAGACCCCGTGAGCTGCCGGGCATTGGGTGGGGGACGTCTCGTTCTCTGCAGATGAAGAAGGCGGTGTCAGAATTAGGGTGAGGGGCACCCTACAGTCCTCCCTCCCTCTGAGGCATTCAGTCGTCTGAGTACCCAGAGGGCAGAGCCAACAAGGGCTGGAGGGCTTCGAAGGTGGGGACTTGTGGTTGTATCCTGCTCAAAGATGTCTTTCTTTGGCCAGTTTTACTTTAAAAAAAAATTTTACCACGGGTTTTTGAGTTGTTTTTTTTTTAATAATCCTCATTGGAGAACATACTTCGAGAAGACAAGGAAGTGAGAGAGAGAGGGGGGGAGAAACACTGTGAGAGTGAAATATTGATCAGTTGCCTCTCGTACACACCCCCAACTGGAGACCGAATAAACCCGCAACCTAGGCATGTGCCCCAATCAGGAATCAAACCCATGACTTTGCAGGGTGTCCAACCCACGGCCTGTGGGCTGCATGGTGCCCAGTATGGCTATGAATGCAGCCCAACACAAAATCATAAATTTACTTAAAACCTTTTTTTAGCTCCTTAGTTTTCAGTGTTTGTGTATTTAATGTGTGGCCCAAGAAAACTGTTCTTCCAATGTGGCCCAGAGATGTCAAAATGTTGGACACCCCTGGTGATGTTCCAACCAACTGAGCCATACCAGCCAGGGCTTTTACTATGGTTTTAAAAATCACAGCATCTATGTAAAAATCAAAATCTCCAGATTCTGCTGACAATTCAGAAGATCTGGCCACACTGGGCTTTCCTGCTGCATGACAAGCTGGTGATGGCCTTGTTTAGGTGGGACATGGATTCTCCAGTTGTCTTCTTTGCCCATCCTCCCAGGCCCTCCACTCCCTGGAGATTCTCCCTGTTTTACATAAATATGGTCTGCTTGCCCCTGAAGGCAGCTTATTGGAGCAATTTCTTCTCCAGGGTCAAAACCTGCTTCCAGTGACCCTCACAGACCCTGAGGTCCTTACCTGCTACATTTGCACGGGAGGTCAGGGCTGGTTCTGGCATGCTGGGAAGGTCAGCTGCAGACGGGGCGAAGGGGCTGGTAGATCCAGGCCTGTCTGGGGACTTTGGGAGGCTGTGGATAGCTGGGCTGCTGGGAGGGGGTGCTTGGCTGGCCTGGGACATCTTGCCTACATGAGGTGTGAAGAAAGTATAAGAACAACCAGGTGCCCACCCAGGAACCTAGTTGAGTCACCCAACCTCAAGTCAGGCTGTGGGGCTTGGGAACTCTGGAGAGAGGAGAAGAAAACTTCCAAAGGATGGCTTCTCAGGGTGGAGTTGAGAAAAGAGCTCTGGAGTTACATCTAGCTCCTGGAGACTTGGTGTCCCCATCTGTGAAATGGACACAATCAGCTCATAGGGAGCTTAGGGCAAGTGCTACTATGGCAGGTTTTCTACTGTATGGTGCTCATTTTCCTAGACGCCCAGGATGTTCCCCTGCTTCTGGGATACCGGCGCATTATACGAAAGCTGGCATGTGACCTTCAAAGGATGCTCTTTAATTGAGTGGAAGTGTACCCTGGCCTCATTCTCTCTCCCATCCCTGTGAGCCCAAACATGGCCTTCCCTGAACAATTCACAATCCATCAGTGTGGCAATCAGAAGGGATCATTTCACTGATCAGGAAACAAGGTAGTTCAGAGAAAGCCATGCAAGGGTGACACCAGACTGTCGACAAGGGTATCCTGGGAGAGTTGTGGGAGAGACTCAGTAACCCAACACTTGTAAGCATCTCTTATTGTTTGGCTTTTTAATGAGTACTCATTGATGTTGTAGTTTAAAAATATAACATTTAGTAGCGGGGGGAAAAAAGGCTTAGTGGGGGAAAATGACACATAGAAGGCCACACAGCCATTCAGAGAGTGATTCACCCAGACCACCTTGGGGAGCTCTGCTCCTCTACTTTGATTCTTAGGAAATGGGGACATAGAAAGGTGTTATGATGAGAGTAGATCATGAAAAGGCACTAGGCTACAACTGCCAAATACCTGGGGTTGGAAGAGGACACAATCAGGGAACAGTCAGGTAGCAGGGAGAGCGGGTAGGGGCGCCAGGGCTAGGTCTCACTCCCTCACCTTGGTAGATGAGTATACTGGGCACCTCTGTTCCAGCTCCTGAGATTTGCCAGAGCCCTTGGGGAAGAGGGAGAGTGGGAATGATGTGGATGGGTCCCGCAGGGAGACTCAGGCAACTCAACAAGGAACTGGAGGCGGGCACTGCAAGAGACGAAGATGGTGAGTTGGGATCCTCTGCAGCACCTATGTTTGTAATCCTGTTTTGTGATTATTTGATTAACATCTGACTCCCTTTCTAAAGGGCTCCAATTACCCAAAGAGTAGCAGCTGTGTCTGTCTGGATCGTGGCAGTGTCCCTAGCGCCTAACAGAGTGGCTAGTACAAAGAGGTGCTCCATTCACAGATGATGAATGCATTGGGCTAGTGAGTGAATTCTTTAATTGATGGGGATTCCCTGTTGTACCTCCCAGGGACATGGTTCCTTCTAGAGCATGTTTTCTGGCATGGACTGAATTGATAGGGACCCAAAGGATGGGATGGGCTGGGACGGAAGTGGGTGACACTAGTTGGGACTGGGATTCCTGTCCCTGGTGGCCCCTGCCTTAGTCATTCCTCAGGCACAGGGAGCGGGGAAGCCCACCTTCTCCAAGCCTCTCACATACCAGGCATCGGGACAATTTCCTCTAGCCGGGTCTGTCCAGATGTTGTCTCCTTGTTGAGCAGAATAGGTGGTGATGGGCAGGACGGAGCTGACAAGTCACTCGCTGGCCCCACTAGGAAAGTGCCAGTCACCATGGGCACATTTAGGGGTTCGGCTGTGTGGAAGGAGCCATGTTAGAGGCTGCATGAAATCTAGGTGGGTTTCTAGAGGGGCCTTCCTTGGATGGGGAGCGCTCCAAGAGCAGAGTAGGTCTCTCTCCTGGCAGTTGGAGGAAATTCCTGTCCTCTCCTTAGCCCTGGGTGAAGCTGATTTGATCAGCAGCTATTCTGTGCCAGCCAGCCCCTGTTCCCAGCCCTCTACTTGTGACTAGGCCCTTAGAGTTTCCTGAGATGAAGACCTAGTGATGGACCCATTAGGCCACTAAGGCAGGACAGACCTATAAGTAGGCCATTGGCCCAAGCCCCTACCACCTTTTACAACAAGACACGGAGCTCCTGGGGGGACTCAAGAAGCACCACGCACTTCTCAAACAAAGGAGAGGTTGTACCCCTATCAGACTGGGGCAGGGAAGATTTAATGGGAAGATCGAAGAGGGTAGAAACTTGCCTCCCCCAGCAGACTGAGAGTTCCCTGGAGATAGGGACTACTTCACTATCATGGGCCCTTCATGGGCAGGCTCCCTATCTCCCCCATCAGATTGGAACTCCCTGAGATTGGGGACTAGGCTTCTTCCATCAGACTCTGAGCCTTTCATTCCTCAGTCTGTTCCTCAGGGGCTGGTCTTCTGACTTTTGCAATAACAACTGGGTGGGAGGAGAGTAGAGAGGAGGGGAAGGCAGAAGAGGAAGCAACTGGTGGGAGAAGAAGGTGAGCTTGGAGGAGGAGTCTCACTGAGGCAGGGAGGGGGTGGGCGGCAGGAGGGCACTGGGTGACCAGCTAACCCTAGATGACTGTACTCTGAAAAGAGGAGGCAGCGGAACAAGGTGGGGGGATTGTGGGCGGGGGGTGGGGGCGGGTGGAGCAGGGTCTCAACTCTGACTCATTTGAAAAAGCTGGCCCTGCAAAGTGGGAGAAGACATCACAGATAGAGAGAACAGCAAGTGCAAAGGCCTTGAGGCTAGACAATGTATGTGGGTTACAGGAACAGAAAGAAGCCAGGGTGATTGGAGCACAGTGGCTTATGGGGAGTTTGGACAGGTGGAAAGGACCTGATCATGCAGAAAAGAGTCTTTGTAGGAGAAACTGAGTCTCCTAGCAGCCCTGGAGCTATACAAGCTCTGGAACCATGGATCTTGGTTTCAGTCCCAGCTCCACCCCTCAACAGCTGTGTGACTGTGGACAAGTGGCTTCACCTCTCTGATCCTCAGCTTTTAAATGCCAGTTTATATGCACACCTGAGGAGGCCCGAGCTTTCCTGCCTTGCAGTCTCCCTGGGCCCACCAGCCCTGCTCACCGAGCTTCCTGTGCTTCAGGTCCCCAGGCAGCTCCTCAGGAAAGGCTGCAGAGAGAACACCATGGTCATCAGCCTCAGGGAAGTGATGTTCCAAGCCAGGAAGGGCTTCTGCACCCCAGCAGGCCAAATAGCTTTGCCTTAAATGTCAGAGAAGTGGCCTTGGGAGTCCCATTCCCCTCCCCTGACCATTCCTGTCCCCTTGTCTGTCTGCTTGTGACCAAACTCCATGTTGAAGCTCACAGGGAAGTGAGGCACTGGAAGTGGCAGAGACACAGAAGGGACAGACAAGATAAGTTTGAGTTTAAGGAAATGAAAATTAAAAATAACCTGCTTTTGATCCCTTCCTAGCTGTGTGTTTTTGCAACACAACCTCTCTGAGACTATGATCTCTCATCTGTGAAATGGGGGATGGGGAGTGGGGGTGGGTGATTCCTTCCTTGCAGAAGTACATTGAAAATAAGTGAGTGACTATCAAGCACTTAGCACACTAATGGAGAAAAACTCTATGTGTCTCTTAGCAAGGGGCATTATGGTTCATCCACCAATGAAATACCATGCAGCCCTGAAAATGGATAAAAATGCTGAAAGATGTATGGGGAAGTGTACTGGCATCTGCAGTTTACTTTGAAATGTTCCAAATATAACATGGATGAATGGGTGGGTGGATAGAGGGATGGACAGATGGGTAGATATGTCTTAAGGCAAATATAGCCAAACATTAATTGTAGAATGTAAGTGGCAGGTATGTGGTGGTTTGTAGTACAATTCTTCCACCCTTACTGTATGTGGAAATTTTTCATAATAAAATGTTGAAAAAAAATTGTCAAATGAAAATGAGAGGAGGGTAGAGAGAGGGGAAGAGAGAGAAAGAGGAAGGGAGGGAGGAAGGAAGGAAGGAAGGAAGGAAGGAAGGAAGGAAGGAAGGAAGGAAGGAAGGAAGGAATGGAAGGAGGGGGGAGGGAGGGAGGAGAATTCCCAGGAGGCAGGACAATTCTTCATCAGTGATATAGAAACGACCTCCCATACATGTTACATGAAGAAAGCTAGAAGAGTGGGGTAAAAATGTGGTCATTTGTGCAGAAAATTAAAAAAAAATTAGTTGGGTTATAGATAAATAAAATATTTCTAACAAGGCAAAAAGGAAACTGACAACATAGGTTGTCTTCAAGGAGGAAAACTGAGGGAAATAAACTGAGGAAAACTCTATGAAAATAAGTAAACTGGTATAGGGCTTACACATGGTCTGGCACATAGTATGCACTTGATTAACTGTTATGCCCATTTTACAGATATTTTCATTCAACAGATATTTATTGAGGTATTACTGCATGCCAGACACTGTGCTAGACATTGGGAATGTAGTGATGAGTAAGAAAGACAAAGTCTCTGTCCTCACAGTGGGGAACTAGGCAAAAGGCAATACATAAAATAAGTTCAGATTACAACAGGTGCTAAGGTGCTAGGAGAGACACAGCAAGGTGAAAATAAATGAGGTAATCTATGTGAAAATGGTGGTCAAGGAGGCCTCCAGATCCAGTTAGGCAAGATTCAGAAGATTTGAAAAAGCTGGCCATGCAAAGTGGGAGAAGACATCACAGATAGAGAAAACAGCAAGTGCAAAGGCCTTGAGGCTAGACAATGTATGTGGGTTACACGAATGGAAAGAAGCCAGGGTGGTTGGAGCACAGTGGCTTATGGGGAGTTTGGACAAGTGGAAAGGACCTGATCATGCAGGCCTTGTGGTGTGTATCTTGTAGCCACTGGAAGGTTAACAGGGAAGCAAAATGATCTTATTTGTACTTAAAAGATCATGTTGGCTGCCAGGTGAGGACAGATTGAGGAGGCAGGGACACTAAGTAGGAAGCTCTAAAAGGTGCAGGACCTGCTACTTATGCTCAAAGAGATATTAAAGAATTAAAACCCAATTCTTGCTGAACCCTGCACTTGAAGAGACCTCCTTCAAATACAGTGGTGAAAACTAAGGACAAAAGGGAAGTAAGAACCCAGAGGTCTTTTGGAAAGAGCAGTCAATACAGCCAGTGACAGAGACCTACCAGGAGGGTAGTCATTTGCACCTAGGCTGTCAGTTTCCTTGGTCACCAGGGAGCAGTGGTAAAGGGAGAGGTAGGCAGAACACTCACACCCAGCTGGACTAGACAGGGCTCAATGAGGGAAGCAACTGGAAGCCACAACAGGTTTTGGAGCCAAGGCAAGGCCAGTAGTCAAGCAAGGTTGGGTATGATCAGGGAGGGGCTCACTCACGTCTTTTCTGACTTTTTTGTCCTTCTTCTTCCAGCATGTCCACACTCTCGCCGATTATGTCTTCTAATCCTATGTGCTCAACTTTAAAGAAAAATCAAAGACACCAACATGCACAGTCAATGGATGCTCCAGGCAAAACTGCGTTGTCCCTATATTGGGAAGGGATCTGACTGTCCATCAAAGGGTGGCCACCAGGTATTATGTGCTCCAAAAGGAATAAGGAAAGAAATGTGGGCTCAGCCAAGAGCCCCCAACTTACTGAAAATGTCTTTGCTCAGGCCCTCAAACTGGGAGTCCTGGAATACATACTGGTCCAGCTCCGCTGCCCAGACAAGGAAAAGTACAGTCAATTAGTGAGTTCTCAATGTTTGCTGAAAGAATGATCAAATTAATGAAGGAAAACTGAACCTTCATGGGCTCTTAATCTAATTGAAGGGATGGGGTATGTATCCATGAAAACTTATCTATTGCTATAAAGTAGTACAGTGTAGTGTGGATGAGTTGTCATGGGGGCTTGAGTTTAAATTCCAGCTCTATCCCCCACTAGCCCTAAGAGCTATACAACCTTGGGCCAGTTACTTAACCTCTCTGTACCCCCATTTCATTGTCTGTGTAAGGAGAATAAATAATACTACAACCCAGAGATGGATGATGAGGATTAACAGCTCTGCATTTAAAGCATCCAACACAGTAGTCAGTATACAGTAAGCACTCAATAAATGATGGCTAATTATATGAAGTAGAATGTGGCTTGGAATGAGTAGAAAGACAATTGCCATGGCAGGAGGTCTGAGGATAGAGTGGGATGGGGCAGTCGGGGAGTGCTTCCCAGAGGAAGGGATCCTGGAGCCAGGCCTTGAAAGACAGGGCAGAGTCTGAGAGGTGGAAAATGGAGGGCTTTCTGGGTAGTGGGTACAGAGAAAGGGAAGGTATTTGCACTATGTGTGGGAAACACTGAGAGGCAGGTGTCTGCAGTAGAAGTTTCATGTTGGAGAAAGTTAGAACTTGATTTTATAGGCAATGCGGAGCCATAAAAGGCATCTGAGCTGAAGAATGGAGTAAGGGCAGAAATGAAGAAGATGATGATGATGATGATGATGACGACGATGATTGCAAATTCCTTTTCTAATGACTTTACACACAGAGATTTATTTAATCCTCACAGCCATTCCATGGGGCATATGTGATTGTTATTCCCATTACACATATGGAAGCCAATGTAATATTTCAGGATGTCTCAAATGACTGTGTGCTCAGGCCAAGGCATGGAGAAACCCACAGGTTTGAGGAGCACACTCGAGTGACACTGTATCCTCCACTTGCTCAGGCAGGTCCACTTCCTGTGTAGATGCCCATAAGGGAAGAACCCCCAAATCCTAAGTGATGCCCAAATCTTTTACTGCTGCCTCCAGTTGTGAGGAAGTATGAGTTCCCTCAGCACCAAACCCTTCTGCTTCCCACAGGTAAATTCCGAGGAAGAAAAGGAAGTGTGCAGGCTCTTGGTTCTGCAATTTTGAGACACCTCCATTTTCTGGCCTGATGTGATGCTGGATTGGCTGTGCCCTGAGGAAAGACTGGCCACATTTGTGCTGAGCACAGACCTCCTGAGTGATGTGCTCCTTGTGTTGCCAGAAAAAGGGCAAGTAAGAACATTTGTGCAAGTTGTTCACTGTCCAAGGGTGCCCAGCTAAGAAGGCAAATGGGGGCAGGAGATTCAGCCTGCACTTCAATAGCCAGGCTGTTACTTCCGGGTGGGGAATGCATCCTCCAGAAAAGTGGAGTCGTTTTCTAATTTAACAAAGTATCTGTATGAAATAGTGGTAATTCTTGTTAGGAGGGATCCTTTACCCCACCCCCACCCCCAAAACAACAGTAATGGAAACACCTCTCCCCAGAGTTCTGCCTTTATCTGAGAACTGTGTCTCCCTCCCTCCCTCCCTCTTCCTTTTTTCTTTTCTTTTCTTTTCTTTTCTTTTCTTTTCTTTTCTTTTCTTTTCTTTTCTTTTCTTTTCTTTTCTTTCTTTCTTTCTTTCCCTCATACAAGGATGTGTTTTTTAATTTTTGAGAGAGAGGGAGAAACAGACAGACAGATATACAGATATCAGTGTGAGAGAAACATCGATCAGTCACTTCCCACATGAGCCCCAGGATTGATCCCACAACCGAGGTATGTGCCCTGACCAGAGTGAAACCCTCAGCTTTTGTGTGCATGGGATGATGCTCCACCAAACTGAGGCATCCTGGTCAGGAAGCTCTTGTTAAAGCTGCAAACTAGCCTCTCCACTTATGTTTTGACAAACCTTCCCACCCCAGATACTTCCCTTTTTATGGTTAATAGGACTTTACAATGAGAAAAACATGGGTTAGAATTTCAGACCTACCCATTACTATCTCTAATGCAGCCTTGGGTAGATTGTTTCACCCTTCTGAACCTCAATTTTGTTATCTGTAAAATGGAGATACTAATAATATCTACTTCCTTTGTTGTTGGGATGCTACATATCTTGTGATTCAAAAGTAAGTGCAAATACTAGAGTAGTTTGGCTTAGGAGCTAGGGGGAAAGAGTGGGAGGGATGTATACTATGGGTTTTGTGAAAAGGAAGGGAAGAACAAGAAGTAGAAAAAGGTATAGAAAGGGAGGCAGAGAAGGTAAAAGTGAGATTTTGTTTGCTTTCAGGTCTTTAGTAGAGGGGTCTATTTCCCTTACTACTCTCCATCTTCCTGGAGGCTTCCCTGGAGTCTCTGTTCTTTTAGTCCTTGCTCCCCATCCCCCTTGTCCTGATTTCTGAGAGAAGGGCCTGCTGTGGCTCATGGTGAATGGGTGAGATTAACGAGAGAGAAAAAAACCTTTCCCCACAATTGTCCTTTTTTTGGGTTCAGAACACTTTCTCACCGATACTGGCATAAGCTTCCCTGGTCTCTTCGTCACCTTCTATGTCACACAACATCCTGCTGAACTGTTCGCAGTTGATGGTGTCCATGTCAGGTTCTGTGGGAAAAGCCCCTTGAATGAAGCAGGAAAGATCTGGGAAGAGGATTGGTGGGGAAGGTGGGAGAGACAGGTGAGGCTGGGAGATGGCCTCGAGAGGAAGTTTCTTGAAGCGATAGGAGCTGTCCTTGGTGCTGATGGGAGCTCAGTGTCTGCACTTGCCCTGTTTGCTCCCAGGCTCTACTGCAGGACGAGGGGTTGGGAGGGGACCGAGGGAAAAGAGCCCACCTGAGCAGAGCTCCATCTCTTCTTCTCCAGCCAAGTCCATCTGGTCATAGAGGTGGTAGAGCTGGAAAGGGTCGGCATTGCTGTTGAGAAGCTCCAGATACCCACCTTCCAGGGGCCCCAGCTCCATGGCGGCACACTGTCCACTGCCTGGAAGGGAAACACACTCAGTCATGTCATAGAATGTTGAAAAGGTGCAGAAAATTAATGTAGTTCCAAGTTGAGTCACTTAGTAAAGGATAAGGTTTGGGCAGCCCAAGAAAGTGAGCAGCCCTGGCTGGTGTGGCTCAGAGGATTGAGTGCTGGCCTGTGAATCAAAGGGTCACAGTCTAGGGCACATGCCTGGGTTGCGGGCTGGGTCCCCCGTGGGGGATGCACATGTGGCAATCACACATTGGTGATTCTCTCCCTTTCTTTCTCCCTCCTTTCCCCTTTCTAAAAGTAAATAAATAAAATCTTTTTTAAAAAAGTGAGCAAAAGTGCTCATTCAGCTCCCAGGGCAGTGGGAATAGAAGGCCATACCTCCTACCTCCAAAAGACTTATAATTATAACAGAAAGATGTCTGTGATACAGGAGAGGACACTGGAGAAGTGTAAAGTCAAAACATCTTATACCTCTGAGCCAAGAGACTTGAGTTATACATCTCACAATGTCATAAATGACGAGAGAGCACCTACTGTGTGCCAGACACCTGGGCTAGTATGTTTAGTCCTCACACCAGCCATACAAGGTAGGTACCATTACTGTCTTCATTTCATGCCTGAGTAAACTAAGTCTCAGAGATATGAAGTGACTGCATACAAGGTAACCCAAGTCCAGGTGGAAACAGGATCTGGTTCTGGGCAGTCTGACTCAAGGGCCTGCATTTAACTGTTATGCTCTACTGTTGTGGGTGACCTCAAGCACTTTTCTGCTCCTCCCTGTGCCTCAGTTTCCTAATCTGTAAATTGAAGGAGTTGGGGCAGATTCTCTGTAAGATCCATCATTATCGTTTGTTAAAAGGATATAGCAAATACCTTAGATGCGACTTCATTTAATCTGTAAGACAATCTTGGACATGTCCACACAAAACCTTGTATACAAAGCATAAGTGTATAGATGCATAATTCATAACCACCAAAATACAGAGGCAACTTAAGTGTCCATCGGGGGATGAATGGATAAACAGGATGTGGTAAATCCATACGGTGTAATGTTATTCAGCCATAAAAAGAAACAAAGTATTGATAAATGCCACAACATGGATGAAACTTGAAAACAACTATGCTAAGTGAAAGAAAACAGACACAAAGGGCCACATGTTGTATGATTTTGTTTATGTGAAATATGCAGAATACGCACATTTTTAGAAACAAATAGTAGATTAGTGGCTGACTAGGGTTGGGGTAGAGTTGTGGGGGGAGGGGAGAATGGGGAGCAATTGCTAATGGGTACAGGGTTTCTTTGGGGGAGGATGATGAAAATGTTTTAAAGTTGACCATGGGGATGGTTGCACAACTGGGTGAATATACTAAAAAGACCATTGGATTGTACACTTTAAACAGGTGAATTGTATGATGTGTGAATTATATGCCAATAAAGCTTCTAAAATGAAACAAAACACTAACCCTAGAAGGCAAGCTAAGCTCTTGCCTGTGAGAGCCAATTTGAAGCCTCATCTGTGTGGCTCAGATGCCCCTGCCTGCTCTCTAGTTCAGGTAGTCTACAATTCAACATAGGGCCCTGGGGGGAGCTATCTGTTTACAATGGGCTAGGTGGCAGTTGCAGGAACCCAAACAACAGGCTTGCATCAAGGGCCCAGCCAGCCATGGCTTGAGAAAGCAGAACTGAAAGACACTGCCTTTTTCCTGGGCTGGGGCCAAGGCTGGGAGGAAGGGGAGGGAGAAGGGCTGCACCCCTCCCAACACGGTGGCCTAGGGGCTGGCCAAGCGATCTATTGCTCTCTCAAGGATGGTGAGAAGAGACTTCCTGCCCTGAATCTTTTCTGCTGCCTGCCTCCTACTTTCAGTCTATGCTGTTTATTGAGACCCTACCTTGTAGAAATCTGCCTCTTTTTCCAGGCACTGAGATCTGATGACAATAGCTCAGGACTGACACCGGCAATTCCAGGAATGAGTTGTATGATTTTGGTCAAGTTACCCAGTCTGTTTTCTTACAGGGCATCAGGGCTTCCAGGGGTCTTCAACCTCCTTCATCCTTCAGAGAAAATGAGACCCTAAGAGAGATGTGCTTTGCAGAAGGCCCCACAGTCTGCCAGTGGCCAAGCTCGCACCTGATCCCCTAGCACAGTCCAGTGCTCTTTCTTGGCAATCAAGATATTTCCATTCAAATTAATGTCCCCATTGTGTCTAAGCCAAAGAAGAGAGACCAGCTCCTTTAATAGATGGGCATTGGCAAGAGGTGCAGTGGGAAAGAGTCTAAAAAGTCTAGCCCAGCCTCACTATCGACAGGCTCAGCTCCAAGCTTTGGGCAACATTGCCAAATGTGGTTAAACACTGGGAAAATATACGGACAGAGAGAAAGAAGGCAATTCACGTGAGTTTTGGAGTCAAATTGCCTGACTCTGAAACCACTCCTACCTACCAACCCACTGCAACCTGGGTGTTTTTTAAACCTCTTGTAGCATTAATTTTTCTCACATATAAAATGAGAATTATGGCCTTGGCTGGTGTCACTCAGTGGATTGAGCACTGGCCTATGAACTGAAAGGTCACTGGTTTGATTCCCAGTCAGGGCACATGCCTGGGTTGTGGGCCAGGTCCCCAGTTGGGGGTGTGCAAGAGGCAACCAGTCGCTATTTCACTCACACATTGATATTTCTCTCCCTCCTTTCTCCATCACACCCCCTCTCTGAAAATAAATAAATAAAATCTTTAAAAAATAAAATGGGAATTATAATAATTGATAACTCATAAGGGTTAGGTAAGTTAATTCATGTAGAAGGGTGTATTTATTCTCGCCCTTCTCTAGGGGTAGCCTGCATCTAATGATTCATCCCAGTGAAGTGCAAGGGTCTGGTTGCCCTATCTCAATTTGAGATAACCCTGTAGTCCTTTGAGATAATTCTGTAGTCTGTCCCAGCTTCAGTGCTCCCCATGAGATTGGCTGAGACCCCTGTTGTGACGATATTGCACCCCATGTACAGCCCTCAGGAAGGTGACTGGTGCTTAGGAAGTACTTAATAAATGGAAGCTTAGAACAACATCTAACATATACACAATGAGTGATGGCCATTATTATAGTTATTATTTTATTATAATTCGTCTCTTATCTCTGAGGTTGACAAAGGGATTCTTTCTCTTCCACTCCTGCCTGACTTACCAAGCCAAGATTTCTGTTGTTTTGCATGGGGAGACTTCATAGACCCCATAGGAACAAGAAAGCCCCACAGTCAGCAGTGTAACCTGGAAGGTCCAATAACACTGCCCCTTCCCCCATCACTACCACCGAGAAGGTATCTGAGAGAAGTCGCCCCAGGGCCTGAGTTCTGTGTCATTTGCTCAACCTGTACAAGAAGAAATCTACTCTCAGATACCTCCAACATGCACCAGGACATCTCTCTTCCCTAAGATGAACACTGCATCTTGCATACTTCCTCTCAAATAGACAGGGATTTGCAGCTCACAACAGACTTCTGCCTCCACTCCCATGTCCCCATCTTTGCTCCTAAAGAGCCTCGGGGAGAAAGCAGGATGGAATGTTATGTATACTAGACAGAGGAAGACACTCAAACACCTCAAACACTTACCCAAGGGCACCTGGTTAGAGAGTTTGAGTTTGCATTCTGGCTGGAAGGCCTTAACAAGTGACTTAACTGAATATCTGTTTACCCACCAATAGGTCAGGATAATAAGGCCAGCCTTGCAGGACCATCAAAAGGCCAAGGGGGACTCTGTGTGGTGCACCAGGTACATAGAAGGCCCACAGTCAAAGGAAACCCATTATGTTGGGAAGTCTCAGAGCTGGGACTCAGACCTAAGACTATAAGCTCTCAGTCTAGATCTCCCCATAGTGCCTCCCACTCATGCCAAGGTCTACTAGCATCTTGGTCTAGCCCCTCTCCCATCTGGAGTTCCCACAACCATGTTTCTTCTGTCTCTAGATGCTTAGGATATTATTCAAAGGCCCATCAACTGTGCTCTTTCTCCCACCTGCAATTCCAGAGGGGACAGAAAAGCAGAGATGGCCCTGATCACCACACTGCAGAGGAGAGTGCCCCCTTCAGCTGGCCTGCACAGGGCAGATCTCAGAGGCCAGGAGCCCTGGGAGGGCAGGACCCTGTCCACCTCACTCCTCTATCCCTGGGTTCCAGCACATAGTGGGTTCCCTCCATCAACAAGAATGAAGTGTAATTAGAATTCACAATTATCTTCTCAGTGCCCGGCACCAAAGGATATGATGTATAAACATTACCCCACTGAGTCTTAACTCACACATTAGCTATCTGTATTTCCATTTTGCAGATGAAGAATCGGGCTTAGAGAGAAGAGAAGGGAGTTGGGATCTGAACCAACTGCCTAGCTCCAAAGTCTCAGTTTCTTCTAGTCACTCTTGACCCCCAATCCCCTTAGGGAGCTGCCCTCACTCAGTGAGAGAAGGCAAGACTACTTCTCCTTTTAAGGAGCTCCTGAGCCGCAGCAGAGAAGTACTCTGTGTTTTTGGTAAATAACAGTATTTTTAGAAGGTCCTCTTTGAACACACCCTTCTCCCTGGGCCACCACCTTCCATGTTCCTTCTGGGGTTCCTTTCCATCCCCATTTGACACTATAGTGTAGACTTTTAAAAAGCAGGTGCACCAAAATGTTTTCTAAAACAAAAATTCATTTCTCTCTCTCATGAGGAAAATCAAGTATGACAAGAATTTCCTCACTCAAACCTGAGCAACTTGACATTCTACCCATTTTACAGATGATGACAATGAAGTTAGGCTCAGTTTATCAGATGCTTTCTTCCCAGAAAGAGGGCATATATCCTTGAAGGTCTGAGGAAGTGTTGAGAAGAAGAAATGGGCTCCTCTGCTGCCCCCCAAGCCTTCAGCACTGCTCTGCACTGCAGTACAAGAGTGTGAGAAGGGATTCTTCCCTATTTGTCAACTATAAACTTCTCTTCCTGAGGAAAGAATGGAAAATCTCTGAACTGTGCATCTAGA